GCTGTAAGTATCTTTTACAAAGCCATTTTTCTATTTAAAACATCAATTCTCTACCAATTATGTTTTAGTTTTTTTTTCTTAAAGTAACATCCTAAAACGTTGTTTGTCAATCATGCTGTATGTTTATTTTTTAAACTTACAGTCCAAATAAAAAATCTTTTCTTTTTTCTTCTGTAACTTACGAAAATCACACAGCCCTATTTGTTGGGTTTTAAAAGTTAGTGACTATAAAAACAATTAAATATTAGGTTAACACAACGTAAAAGAGAATTATCACCAGAAAAAAGTAAGAGATATAAGTGTTGATCAAAAATACAATACTACCTAATTGGAATAACTCTTAACTTTATATATACTAGATTTTTGTCAACATAATATTAGAACATTCGGGAATTTTATAATACACGATTTTTTAATAATACACGAAAAAAATTAGAAACAACAAAGATAAAAAAATTCATTATTTTTTATGTTGAAAGTAGCATAAAAATTTATGTTATAACCATTTTAATTTGTATAAACTAATTTCTTAAAAGGTAAAACTATAACACATATCTTATACTTACCAATCGTGTTTTTATTTTAAAATAGTTACAGCTACAACTTATATATCTACAACAAAAAACCTGCAGCAAAAAAAAAATATACATCTACAGCCAAAACACTTACAGCAAAAATTTTACAATAATTAATCTACAGTTACAGCCGAACCAATCACCAACATAGTCTTTTCTTTTTCTTGGGAGATCACAAAGAGGGAAATTGATCTTTCGGCGGATTTGGTAGAGGAAATACTCTCTAGGGTTCCAGCCAATTCTTTGAAACGATTACGATCTACTTGCAAACAATGGAACACTATATTCAAAGACAGAAGATTCACCAAGAAGCACTTTTGTAAAGCTACAAAGCAGTCTCTAATTAATTCTCATGTTGAAGAAATATAGGGTTTGTTCAATGAGCGCCAATCTCAATATTGCTCCTCCATCTATAGAGTTTAAAGATGAACTTGGCCTAAAGGATTACCATTCTAATTCAGAACAAGTCGATATAGCTAAAGTTTTCCACTGCGACGGTTTGCTGTTGTGTATCACTAAGGTCACTAGACTCGTGGTTTGGAATCCTTGTTTGGGGGAAGCCAGGTGGATCCAACCCAAGACTGCTTACAAGAGCCTCTCCAGGTTTGCTCTAGGATACCAAAACAACAAATCTTGCCGTAGCTACAAAATCTTAAGGTATTGGCATAATTTCAAGCAAGACGACCGAGTTGTTGAGTGTGAAATCTATGGGTTTAGCTCTGATTCATGGAGGGTTCTTGATGACATCGATCCGAGCTGCGTCATACTAGGATATGGTGGCATGTCTTTGAAGGGAAATACTTACTGGCTTGCTTGTGAGAAAACTGATGACTTCTTACTCTGTTTTGATTTTACAACAGAGAGATTTAGACGTCTTTGTCTTCCGCTATCTCAGAATCGTAGTAGTAAGGCTCTATCAGTTGTAAAAGAAGAACGACTATTAATGTTACAGCAGAGCTCTGATACATCAAAGATGGAGATATGGGTGACAAATAAATTCGATAATGAAGCTGCGTTGTTGTGGAGCAAATCCTTTACAGTTGATTCACACACTTATGTTTACGCGAGTCTATTAGTCGACGAGGAGAAGAAAGCGGCCTTGTGTTGTGATTTGAGTGTTGACATTGAGAACAACAAGGTATACACTACTGGAGAGGACATTGAATATTACTCAGAAATCCCATTTATGGAATCTACAACAGAATCACTGCGTTGGATAGATAACATTTTTGAACAATCTACAAACAAGTCAACGTGGTCGCCATTTATTTTCAATTATGTTCCAAGTTTGGTCCAAATTCAGCAAGGCCGAGGCAAGAGAAAAGAAAGAGACTAGTCGATAACGATAAGCAAGTGATTTCTTCCGCTCTTCTTCTTTTATTGGTTTGTATTTTGATTATTGTTAATGAATACTTTTTGGCACATCTTCTTTTATGACTCATCTACTTTGTGTTGATCTGAGGATGTGTTATATTTTATGACTCATAATCGGGGGTATTATATTTTTCTTTCTAGGTGATCTCCGCAAAACCAAATCATTGTGTCGTACGTTGAATCCAAACACCAACAGAGCATTGAAACTTCAAAAATCTGACTCCTCAACAATGATTTTCCAAGTATTTTCGAGTGGAGGAGGAGTTGAAATGTACAATAATGCAAAGTGTAATCGTGTTAATCTAATCTAATTAACCAAGTATGGGTGTGCTGTTCAGTTTGGTCCTTCAAAGTGTAGTTACTTTATACAAAGGGCAGATCCAAAATCTTTTTTTTTGTTTTTAATTGGAGCATAATTTTACGAGATTTATAAAACATTTTATCTATATAATTATATATGAAGTACGAAATCCTACGTGGCGCTTTCAGAATGAATTTGAGGGTGGTTGATTACAAGGGTACCCTTAATAAAATCATCATAATTACTACTTGTGCCATCGATTTTTTTTGACCAAAATACCCCTGGCCATTTTTTAATATTTTATTGGGTCAAATCATATTAAACCCATAAAATATAGTGTTAAGCCCATATTTTAAGTCCATAAAATAATATGTTAGTAAAACAAACCCTAGCTACAATCGAATAAGTGAAGCCCTAAAACTTTTATCTATATATAGTTCCTCAATCCATTACAATTCATAGTTTTATTAGGTGTACCCTAACCCTAATAATTTCTCATCTTATATATATATGTTCAATGAGCAAGTGTTCATACGTTCTAAAGAGGCGTAGATTCTTTTATTTTTTTATTTTTTCAACACCGAAAACAAGTGTTCCCCATATTGATCGTACACCACAAGCTATTCTAATC